ATTGTAACAGAAAATATAATAAAAAATATAAAATTTTAATAAAACGGGGATAGAACAAGCAATTTAAAAGAATGAAAATATTAGTAATAAATTTCACGAAACATAAACAGCTAACGGAACACTACTAGGCAATTCTGGCTATGATAGTAAAAAGCACGGGCGTACCATTCCAGGGATTCGAGTTTGAGTCTCGGGCAGCGGATTTTTTTTCTTCCATTTTTATTTTCTTTAAAACTTTAGATTTTATTATTTAAAAAAAAATATATATATATAAATTTCATTTCAGTTCTTTCTTTTTTAATTTAACTTTTTTTCTTAATTTAATAATTCTTTTTTTAGTTTCATTTGCTTTTTTATTTTAATTCTTTCTTTTAATTTTTAGATTTTGTTTTAAAAATAAATGTTTAATTTAATTTTTAGATATTATTGTGCTAAAGAGAAAAAACATATTTTTTCAAACACCCTCTTCCCTCTAAAGCTTTCCCCTAAAAATTTTGCTCCCCTAAATTTACCCCTAGAGCAGTCAAAAGTCCCTAAATCTATGAGGGGAAAACCTGTGATCTGGCAACACTGAGGATGAATCTGATGCTAGCTTCAGTTGAAGATCTTTTTGCAAGCGTAGTAAGCGAAGTAAGCATCCACTTTAGGTTTATCAAGGTTAAGATTCCAGTTTAATTTAGTTTCCAGGAAGACTACCAGATATTTAGCATTGAATGATGGAAGTCTAACCCTGCAGGGAAACCGCGGACTAGTGAATCAAATTTCTAGTTCCGTACTAGGTCTTTATCGCCAAAAAGGAACTAGTCCGATAGGAACTAGATCCCCACCAGTCCAAAATCGGCGAAAAGTGGTACTTTTAAGAAACAAATTTTTTCAGTTTTTTTCACTACAAATCTATATCTAAAGTGACGAATTTAGAAATGGTTCGGAACTATAGAAAAAGGGATGCAGAACGAACTAGATCCTATTTGTCGAATTTAGAACTATTTCGGAACTATCGAATAAGGGATGCGCGGGGGCTTGTTTACTTTACATAGATATGTTTTCGGCGGCTTTTTCGTTCAAATACGGTTCTATTCTGTGCTTCGCAGATGCCTTTTCATAGCTTGGTAATACAAAACTAAAATTTGTGTTAACATTTCAACATCTTGGGACCGTCTGGAATCTAAGAAATAACAGCGAGCACCTCTACAAACTCAGCTACAGCTAAAGGTATGTAAACGTACATTTCTTACAATCATTCAAACAAATTTAATTTCAAATTGAAAACACATTTCTTCCAAAATAACTTAAAATCGCACACACGGATAAACCAAAAAGATTGAAAAATCATAATACTTTTTTCTTTCGTCTGTCGGTTTTGGAACTGGTTCGGAACTATAGAATTTAGGACTAGTTCGGAACTATCGAAAAAGGGATGCAGCGGGGGGGCAATTGACACTTCCTAGGACATCGCCATGTTAAATTCGCCAGTTGCTTGCATGCAAAAGAGATTTATCGCGAACCAGTACTGGGTCTAAATGTACTAAAAGCGCACCAGTTCAGAACTAGAGATTTTCCCCACAGGGAAATTGGGGTATCTTATTCGTATTTTTAAACACCAAGAACTGGTGTTTCCTCTAGGAGGCAGGCGGTAGATCAGACAGCCAGAATAGGTTTGGCTTAGACTTTATTAAGCAGTTTCTTGTTTGACTTTACTTAAGCTGCAGTCTCCGAAAACATTGTTTCCAACTCTAGCCAACATTCGTCGATTAATCGGTTCTTAATAAATATTTTGTAACAAAATTGCTCTGGGTATCTCTATATTCCTGCGATAGGACGTTAAAAGCGCTTTCCGAAGCTCTTTCTAGCGAACTCGCACTTATACTTATTTTACAAATATGTATATTTCACCTGTCATGCATTGCACTTTGTTTAACAACCGACTGACAAACAGCCACACTAATATGCCTACATATGTACGTATATGCAGCTAAATCGGCTGGCAGTCCATCAATCATTTTCAATGTTCATTTACTTATTCACTCACGCTTTCACACACGAACACATTCAATCGATTACATGTGCGGTGTGGTGTGATGTGACGACCCAAAAGGTTGACGTCAATTGGCAGCTTCAAGCGTCAACAACATTAACAACAAGTGCATAACACTGGCGGCGACTTTGGAGTTCCATTTGGCGGCAATTGCCACTGGGTGGTCTGT